AGGAAGACTCCTTAACAGCCTGTGAGGTGCAGATACCACCACCCTCCTTGATGAAACAGGAGGGCTTGAAGCACCTAAGGAGGAAGGTCAAAGACTCCAGTCTCCATATGGATTCCGCCTCAAGACAAAGGAATCCTGGGATCCACAATCATGCCCAGGGAAGCAGGTGTCAAGAAACCCAGGGGCGTGTTGCATGTGGGCAAATCAGCTGCAACAAATGCCCTCTTTCAAGCGTCCAAATGAAAAGAGGTCCCTCTGAAGATTGAGGTGGGCCGGTTCCTCCAAGCCAGGTCTTCTCAAGGACCCCGCATGCATGTGGACGCTGGACAGTGATGAGGGACACCACAGAAGACCCGGTGCCTTTACATTTTATTGTCAACCGGTACCGGCAGACCCGGAGAAGGAAGAAATCTATCTTGGAAGGAGTACAGCCACAATGCTCTTCAGAAGCGACAGTGCCAACACTCTGTCTCACACACTGTGGACGACTGGAAGGGGAACCCAGTCTCTGGAAATGGACATCATGCTTGGTACAGCAGCCAGCCGGTGAAAAAGAAGACCCTTACGGAGATGGATGGACCCCGGTGGCCTCAACAGCGGGTTCAAATGGAACGATCGGTAAGGACGGTGCAGGACCGGGCAGTGTCTCGCTCTGTTATACGCAGGGTGGCGCTGAATCGGTGTGGACTAGACAGCAACCAGCAACAACCAGGAGATGCCAATGGTCCATCTGGCTGCACCAAAAATCCAAACCACCGCCATCGAGTTGATTCCAACCAACCGTGACCCTCGATAGAGCTTGGGAGGCCATAAGTCTTTACGGGAGCAGATAACCTCACCTTACTCCTGAGGAGCAGGGGGTGGGGTTGAACCTCTGGCCTTGCAGTCAGCAATCCAACACTTACCCCACAGCACCACCCGGGCCCCTTTATGGCAGCACAAAAGTCATCAAATAGAATTTGAGCAGTGAGCCCCAGCCCAAAACAGCCCCTGTATGGTCCAGGCACAGCCGCCTCTCTCCCACAGGAAACAGAGGCATCCTGAACAGCCTCACCCGTGCTCCGTGCAGCCCAGGTTGGGCCCGCCGGCCACAGGCCCACGTTCAGGAGTCAGAGCGCAGTGTACGGTGGGGAGAAGACTGCAAGGAGGGCCCTGCCTCATTCCCAGGCCCCCTCAAGTCCCCAGCCCTACGTTCAGCCAACCTTTAGATAATGACACATCCAGTAAGCCAGGCCTCACCAGGACTTCCTAAGCCTCAACCACCTGGAACAGTGGATCTCCACCTTCCTCATGCCGCCACCCGTTAAGACAGCTTCTCATGTGGTGGGGACCCCCAACCATAAAATTATGTTTGTTGCTACTTCATCACTGTCATTTGTGATGTTGTGTCATTTGTCAGTTGTGAATCGTCATGTAAATCTCTGAGAGGCAGGATGTATTTTCATTGTTACAAATCGAACATAATAAAAGCATAGTGAGTCATCACAAAACAATATGTAATTCTATATTGTGAAATATGTATTTCTAATGACAAATCAATGAAATTTTGTCTTGAAGCATGGTGTAGCACGGGTAACAGTCTTCTCACCGGGTACTCATAGGTGGGCGTATCTGCATGTGGGCGGACCCGCCTGTAGACGGATAGAGAAGCAGTGTCTCAGTTCCTAAGACCATCAGAAATATGTGTTTTCTGATGGTCTTAGGTGACCCCTGTGAAAGGGTCTTTCGACCCCCAAAGGGATCTTAACCCACATGTTGAGAGCCACTGACCTAGAAGTCATGGCACCTGTTCCATGTGTTTGTATGATGCTCTCCGATGTCAAACTACACAGTCAGTCCCAAACGGACTTGGGGCGAGAAGCGCATCTGCCTGTCAGGTTGGCTAACACGAGCCCTCCACCCTGCGTGTCACTAGAAAGTTGGTGAGCAAACTTCTGAGAAGAGACACAGAACCATGTGACCAAGGTGGGAAGAAGTTAAGGCCAAGCTGACAATGCCCGTCAAGCCATGATTTAAAAAAAAACAAAGACAAAAAAAGATGCAGCATCTCTGTCGACTAGCCTTGAGACCTAAATCAAAACAAGCTCCCAAATTTCTAAGCCTTAAAGGGAGACGAGCCATCCGACTAACCTCTGACCCGGGAGAAAAGCATGGCATCCTAGTGCTGGGTGCCAGTCTGGTCCTTTGTGTGAGTCTCAGACATACACCCCGGCCTCCTGGGGATGGGAGCGGCCTTACCAACGTGCAGAACGCATTGGGTAGTGGATGGCTGCCATGCAGTGAGGTTAAAATTCAGCACCCTGTCACGTGATCTTCCTCATGACCCATTGACATTTGCTCTCGTTTCTCATATCTTCTGCTCTCTTTTCCATTGAGGTTTTTATTATCTGTTTTCGCTTTGTTAGGCTCGTTGGTTTTTGTTGCTGTTGATTGGTTTGTTCGTGTGTTTCGGTGTGTAAAATCCAGGATAGGTAAACCTATCGAGGCAGGAACTGGATGAATGGTTTCCTGGGGGGGTAGCAGGGGAGGGTGGGATGGGGGGACAACGGAGGGCTAATAACGATGAGCACAAGATGGAAGGAAACTGAAACTGATTGTGGCAATGATTGTACCACTCTTCATGATGTGACTAAACTATTGAACAGTGGTGTGTGAACGATCTGCCAATAAAAATTGTTGGGAGAATAAATAAATGGCTAGCTAGATAAATAAGCCCTGCTCTCCTGCCCACCCACTGACAGAGGACAGAGGCAAAGGAATCCCCGTCTAGTCTCTGACTCTCTCCAGGCTGAGTGGTCAAGGTTGTCAAGGTCACCGCTGTCCTTGAACTCTGGAGACCAAGAACCTGGAGACCAAGGCCGAGATTAAGCCTGCCTCCCCAACCACTCCTAAGAGCTACATGCTGGAGGTCTAAAGGTTTGGATTCTAGCCCTTGAACGACCACTGTCAGTGTGGATTCTGATCCTCAGTTCAGGAGGAACGCTGGGAGGTCTATCTTGTACGGCCAAACAGGTAGCCCATCAAGAACGGGGCCAAGGACACGCACAGACGTTTCACCAAAGGGGACATTCGACCAGCCTCCAAGCACATGGAAAGATGCTGAGCCATCCGAGATGAAAATCTTAAGCACAATGCCATTCCGCTCATCGCATCTGCCACCAGCAGATAACAAGCACTGGTGAGGAGGCAGGCGCACAGAAACCCCTACCCATTGCTGGTACGGAAAACACTGTGGTGGTTCCTTTCAAAATAACAAAACTAACTAACTAAAAGTAAGACTATTAAACAACAACAACACACACCTCACTACCATTGAGTCCGTTCTAAGTCATAACAACCCTGTAGGACAGAGTAGAACTGCCCTGTGGGGTTTCCGGAGGTAGCAGCCCAATGTGGGACTGCTAGGCTACCGGGGCTCCTGTAACGTCCATGTGGCTCAAAGCCCCTCTCTCGAGTGGTGAGTTCCTCCTGGGGGAGTTGATGTTAGGCGGGGAAGAAACAGAGCTCTCCCGGAGCAAGCGCCCCGTGCTTTCCATGCAGGCCTGGCAAGAGCCCAGAGACTTTCCCTTTGTGACTGATCCACTGGGAAGCTCACATCCACATGGTAGCATAGCAGTGACACATTGGGCTGTGACCCACAGGTCAGATGTCCCAAACTCCCGTAAAGAATGCCCACAGGGGCAGTTCTACCCTGTGCTACAGGGTCGCAGTGAGTTCGAATGGACTCACTGGCAGCGCCATGGCACCTTCTCTATCCCTTTTACGTAAAGATCCTTTCACCTTGTGACTAGACGAGTCGCAATAATGCACGGGTGTGTACGAGGCTCACTTCAGAGCAGGGGCAGCACCGAGGGGAGGGGGTACAGGAGCCTCAAGCAGGGAGGACACAGGGCAGGAGGAGCCAGGACTCCGGACTTCCTGGGAGCTCAACCATGGGACCCAAGCAAGCGTCCCTTCCCTGATAGACCTGGAGGGGGCAGAGGGGGGCTCTGTTCAACACAGGGAGAGCCTCAGGCTGCCTCCCACTGGGATGCCACACCCGCTGCATTCATACCATTACCTCCTTGGGCCCAGCCACCCTGCACCCAGCTCAAAGGCTTCCTTTCCCAGAGAGTCTCAGGTGCCACCTCCCCCACGGCCATGGGGTTCTGTCTCTCCCACCAGTCTGGGCCCTCCAAGGGAGGCATGCACCTCAGAGCCCAGCACAGGGGCCAGATACAGAGCAGACACTAGCGACCCCTACATGAAGCTGAAGAGACAGAGCAGAGAGGCCCTTCCATACTGCCCACCGCCACACACACACCACACACACACACACAGACACACACACACACACACACACACAGACACACACACACCATGACCCAAGCTGCTTCCCCCGGATGGGGATTCTGCCTGAGTTCTGGGCAGGCTGGGAAGAAGACACATCGGGGCCCGTGTCCCCAGGGCCTGGACTGATGATGATGGGAGGGGGTGCTCACCTGGGGCAGAGCCTGCACTACCGTGTCCAGCAGGGCCCGCATCCCTGTGGCCATCTTCAACAGCTTCAGCACTGTGGGCAAGACCACACCACAGCCCCATTCAGCCCAGGCCAGGGGGAACATGTATGCGCACCTGTGCGCCATGAGCCACATCTGCACCTGCTCTCAGGGGGGCCACAGGCACGCTGATGGGGAAGGGGGGCATGTCAGAAACCTGCAAACCCCTGGAGCAGACAACAGCCGGCGGCGTGCTATAACGCAAGTGAATGGACATGACCACACAAGTGGGGGCCGGCGGTGGCCTGTGGGTCACTGAGCCCTACTGACTGCAATGGGGCCTGGGAGCCATAGGGGAGAGTCCCTTGCTAAAGAGGGGTCTGGTGTGACCGCTCGCATGTCTCAGAGTGGGGAGGTGGTGGGTGGATGGGTGGGTGGGTGGGTGGCGGGTGGAAGACCACACGAAGCCCCTGGGCTAGCAGCGAGAAACAACCTGGAGGTCCAAAAAGAGGTTTCTAGGGTCAGAAGAGGAGGGCTTAGGGCATGTGATGCACAGTGTCCTTGTCACCATGCTCAGGAATGCCACTTCCCATCTTCCCATTGGGCCAAGTCCTGTTTTCGCAAGCAGAGACTGAACCATGTGGCCCTGGTGTTGTAGGAAGCAGGGGTGTGTGTGCAGGGAGCTGCACAAAGCCGGGGGTGGGGGCAGGGGCTGTGCGTACAAGGGTGAGACAGGATCTGTCCAGTGGGTGCCCCTCCAGGCTCAGCAAGGAGCCCACCAAGAGTCAGGCCCTCCTCTGGCCAGCGCCACACCCTCTCCCCAGGGGCGGGGAGTGGTGGGGGGGGAGGCGCGGGGTCCTCTTTAGCCCCTCACCGCGGGCGATTCGCAGGACCCGCATGATGCGGATGATGGTGGGGTTGATGGGCAGTGCCGCGTTGATCTCGATCTCCTCCAGCGTGATGCCCATCACGGACAGCAGCACAATGGCCAGGTCCAGTTGGTTCCACCTGCTCAGCCGGGCAGAAGAGGACAGGAATAGGGAGCAAAGCGAGGGGCACTCTGCCACCCGGTGTGGCCCCTGGGGACTGTGTGGCGACCCTCCCGACTAACTGTCCCTGGGCCTGCAAACCCTCCATTGGGTGTGGCTCCCTCTCTGCCCTCCACAGCCTCTGCTACCACAGCAGGCCAGGGTCTACCAGGTCTCAGCCTTGGCCTGGATGCTCTCGCTAGTCCTTCAACTTTGACCTGTGTTCCTTTCGAAATTGTTCCCTTGGAAAAAGAGGATCCGCACCCCTGTCTGTGAAGCACCCACAGGAGACGAGCTGAAAGGGCTGAACAGAATATTCTGCACCCACCGTGTGGGACCACAGTGATTTCTTGTTCAGGATGACAGGCAACATCATAAATGCCCAGACATTTATTGCTGCCCTTTGTCCAGCTGCTCCGATCTTTCCCAGAGGTCAGGGTTGCTCCCCATCCTACAGCCCTGGCCTCGCCACTTACTGGTCCTTTTTTTTAAATCGTTTTATTAGGGGCTTATACGACTCTTATCACAATCCATACATACATCAATCATGTAAAGCACATTTGTACATTCATTGCCCTCGTCATTCTCAAAATGTTTGCTCGCCACTTAAGCCCCCGGCATCTGGTCCTCATTTTTCCCCCTCCCTCCCTGCTCCCCCCTCCCTCATGAGCCCTTGATAATTTATAAATTGTTTATTTTGTCATATCCTGCCCTGCCCGACGTCTCCCTTTACCCACTTTTCGGTTGTCTGTCCCCCAGGGAGGAGGTCACATGTAGATCCTTGTAATCAGTTCCCCTTTCCAACCCACTCTCCCTCTACCCTCCCAGTATCACCACTCACACCACTGGTCCTGAAGGGATCATCCGCCCTGGGTTTCCTGTGTTTCCAGTTCCTATCTGTACCAGTGTACACCCTCTGGTCTAGCCAGACTTGCAAGGTAGAATTCGGATCATGATAGTGGGGGGAGGGAGGAAGCATTTAGGAACTAGAGGAAAGCTGTATTTTTCATCGTTGCTCCATCGCACCCTGACTGGCTAGTCTCCTCCCCGAGACCCCTCTGCAAGAGGATGTCCAGTACTTACCGGTCCTTGAAGAAGCGCCTTAGACCAAAGGCTACCAGCTTCAGCACAGCCTCCAGGACAAACACCGTGGTGAACATGTAGTTGCAGTACTTGAGAGCTGTTTCTAGGGACTACGGGGTGTAAAGAGAAGCATCAAGGGACAGGAAGGGGCCCTGGCCATCAATAAGTCACACCCATAGCAGCTGCCCCCACCCCACCCCGCAAAAGAGAGAGAGGGGAAAGGTCAATGTCTCTCGTCATGCAGCACAGAACGCTCCTATGCAGGGGTCCAGACTCCAAGATCCAGACTCCACGCTCTCTCCGGTCAGAAAGCATCTGCCTTTGAAGGGAGAATTTGGTCTCCCCATATCTAGTACAGTGATTTACTTATTTAGTTCTGTTCCTTCCATCTCATGTAATGCTTGCTTACTCACTTTACACCGCGGCTTCCTCTCCTTCCCTTTCCGTATGCCTGCAGGCTTGACCCGCTGGTCATCTTTAGAAGCAGTATGGGATAGTGGTGACAACGTTTCACCATGTACAACACGGGCCCCTGAGTCACTGGACCTAGATTTGAATACCAGGTCACCACTTCCTCCTTACACACTACGTTACCTGGGGCAAGTCGGCCTCTCTGGATTTAGTTCCCCAGCTTGTAGAGGGAGCTAGTAGGAGCACCTGCCTCAGAAAGTTGCCGTGAAGGTTAACGGTCATTCTGTGCTGGGCGCAGGATGAACGCTTGGTCAATATGAGTCGCTATCATTTAGTTCTTCTGAAATGTCCTTTGAAAGTTCTGCTGTCACTGCTCCGTTCTGCCCACGGCTGTTTTCCCTTCCCTTGCATTCGTAATAGTCCTCGCCCGCCTAGGTCAGGTAAGCATTGCACTGCTAACTGCAAGGTCGGTGGTTCAAACCCACCTGGTGCTTCAAGGGAGAAAGATGAGGCTATCTTACTCCCATAAAATGTCACAGACCCGGAAATACTACCTCCCTCCGGGTCCCTGTGCATTAGAATGGGCTCAACGGTGGTGAGTGTGGTTGGGGTTGGCTATTACATGAAAGAAGACACTCTTTCCCTCATTGGAGATTCTCTTTCCGCTACTGCATTAAGTGGAGGCTTTAAAATGCACTTTCCCTCTCATGCCCCTCACACACATTGTCTGGCAACTAGCTGGGAACTGGTCACCCTCTCACGGTGCCCCAGCGCTGGGTATCTGCCCACTATGGTCCTGCTGCCTAGAATGTTCTTCCTGCAGTTGCCGCGTGCCACATGATGAGCTTGGCATACAAATCTACCTCCTAGCTGGGCAATGTGGGCAGGATGCTTGATCTCGCCTAGACTTGGTTTCCCCACCTGCAGAATGGGGACAAAACTCCCTCCGCATTCAAGGTTGCAGTGAGGATGAGACATGCCACGCCACTCGCCTTGTAAAAATCAAGCGTCTTCACTGCAGCAGCCATTGGGACCTCAAGTTCAAAGCCAGAGCCAAGGTCCCCGCCCACATACACCAAGAGCCTAGGACCCCCATTTAGACCCTTTCCTCGGGGAGAGCTTCCTGGGGGCAGGGCCATCCCAAGCCTACTTCAGCCTGGCCCATCACCCCCAAAGTGAGGTTCCTGCAGGGCCACACCTGGCCATGTGACTCTGGACCCAGCGGCGGGACTGGGGCTCACCATGGGCTGGTTATAGTGCTCCAGGGACATGGTGACCACGTTGAGGCAGATGATGAAGGTGATGAAGATGTCCAAGTAGTGGCTGGTGCACATGGAGTGGATGAGCAGCCGGGTGGGACAGTACGTGGCATAGTAGGGTAGCCTCTGGGCCTCTGCAGGACGGTAGAGGGTGGGTGGACAGGACCCCCACAGGGTAGGACAGAGGGAACAGAAATAAAGAACAAAGCACAGAAAAGATAAGAGGCGAGAAAAAACAAGGGGGCAAGATGTTGATCCCCCTCCCCCCCCTGAGAATCCGGCAGCTGCCCACCAGGGCCCAGGAAGGAAGCATTGAAAGAAACCACGGACAGTGGTACAGAAAGGACACTGAGGCTCCGTTGGGCCCTGACACGTCCGTGGGAAGGGCCCTGGGCCAGTTGGGGGAGAGACAGGGTCCCCAGCTCAGGAGCGGGCCCTGCCTTTTGACTGGGCTGCCCCTCAGGACCTCATCCGGCTAACAGTGAGTCACCCGTCTGACTGGAAGGCCATCAATCAGGACTCACGACACCTGGACAGACGCTGAAGGAAGGAGGCGGGGCTGGGGGCCCAGGAGCTGTGTTCCTGGCTCCCAGGGCCCAGGAGGCTGGGGCCCGGGGTGCAGCAGAGGCGGCCTCAGTGGGGATGGCCCGCGCCCTCCACCGCCTCGTCACCCACTCACTCCGGCGCTTCTTCTCCAGGCGCCGCAGCCGCTTCTCCTCGCGCCGCCGCGCCTCCTCAGCCTCCTGGTGCTGCCGGCACTTGTGGAAGTTCTCCACCACGACGCCCACGAACATGTTGAGCACGAAGAAGCTGACGATGAGCAGGAAGGAGATGAAGTAGAGCAGCATCCAGGGGTTGTGGTTGGTCACGGGCTGCGGGGGGAGCCGGGCGGGGCTGAGGCAGGCTGGTGGGGGGGCTGCTGAACCACAGCAGGCACCCCGCCTCGCTGACCTTCCGTGCCCCGCGACACCCACCATACTCGCATCGGTGCCTCCCGGCCTCACCCTTCCACGTCTTTTCCTTCCTCTTACCCACCTTCCCACCCTCACCCACCTCTCCATTACCCATCCACTCAGCCACACCTAGCCATGTATCCATCCATCCACCTGTCCGACAGTTCACTTGTCCATCCACGTATACACATATCCACTCGCCCAACCATCTATCTACCCATCCACTCTCCACATATCTAACCATACATCCAACACTCACCCACATACCCATCCACTCAGCCACACCTGTCCATCTATCCATCCATCCATCCACTTGTCCGACAGTTGACTTGTCCATTCATGTGTCACTCATTCACCTTCCTACCAACCCACTCATCCACCTACCCATCCTCTATCCACTTTCCAACCATATAGCTACTTAACCACCCACTCACTGATCCCACTTTTACCCACTTATCCACCAACATACCCACTGACCGGTCCATCCACATATCCAGCCATGCACCTATCCACCCATTCACTTACCCATCCACCCTCCCACCCCATCCATTTCTCTATTTCTCCATCCATATATCCATTTAGGCACCCACTCACCCATCTGCCCATTCATCCACTTGCCCGCTGAAGCGCACATACATCTATACAGCCATCGATGCCACCCATCATCCATCCACCCAGCCTCACATCATTCTCCTCCACCTATCCGTCTGTCCAATCAACAAAATGTGCATGTCTCCACCTGAACTTGTTCCCCGGCTCCCTCTCTGCCTGTGCAGCTCTTCCCCACCTACAACTGTTCCTCCTCCAGGAGGGCTGCCAGGAGGGCTCCTGACCTGACTAGGATCCTTGTCTCTGCCCTCTCGACTGAACCACTGTGTCCTATGCCCCACCCCTGCAGCTCCCCATACTTGTAACTCACTTCCCGACAGGCCCCCACTTAAACACCTGCTACACAAGGACAGTATCTGCTCCTCAGATGCTCCTGGGGCCCCCGGCTGACTTAGGTTCAATTCCTAGCTCCCTCCCCGACTAAGACCTGAATGACCTTGGACAAACGAAGGGACCTCTGAGTCTGTTTCCTCACCTGAAAAATGGGGATCACCTTATCATCTAGAAGGGCTCAATGCCACTGTAGATGTAGCAGTGAGGGCAGAACTGCGCTTCGAACTTACAGCCAAACTGGGCCCCTCACTCACAGCCAAAGTGTTGGAAGGTGGCATCCAGAAAGAGCAGGGACACCTGCTCTGGACGCCTGTCCTGAGTGCCCATGGGGGACACCGAGGAGACTCAGTTACAGCCTTCACTCCCCAGGGTCGGGCGGGCACTCAGGGGCCAGTGGGGGAGGCTGGCAGGCCTGGCCAGGCAGTGTCGTGGAAGCCATGCCAGGAGAAGCATCCAGGAAGGCCCCCCGCCCAGTCCACGCTCAGTTACAGTTCAATTCTTTGCCCTCTCACTGCACAGCCGCAGAGTCTAGCACCCTGACTGCCCACCCCCATGGGCAGAGGCGAAGCACAATGGTGCTACAGGTGTGTGTGTGTCAGTCTGTGACATGTTTGTGTGTGTATTTGTGTATGTGTGTGTTTGTGTGTGTATGTGTTTGTGTGTCTGTGTATGTTTGTTGTGTGGGTGTTTATATGTGTGTGTTTGTGTGTGTCTGTTTGTGTCTGTTGTTTGTGTGTGTGTCTGTTTGTATGTGTGTGTCTGTTTGTGTGTATATGTTTGTGTATGTTGTTTGTGTGTGTGTTTGTGTGTATCTGCATATACGTGTGTTTGGGTGTATATGTTTGTGTGTCTGTATGTTTGTTTGTGTGCATGTGCATATGTGTGTTTGTGTTAGTTGTTTGTGTGTGTGTTGAAAAATCCGACACGGGAATGGAGGTGGTGGTTCTGGGTGCCCTCACTACCCCTCCCCCACAGCCCATCCAAGTCCAGCCCTCAGCTCCAGCTCCAGCCTCACAGGAGAGGTCCCAGGAGGACACAGTTCAGCAACCACAGGCCAACAGCCAGAGGGTCACCTGCAGCCTTGACTCTGCTGAGGGGGTCTGTCCTGAACTAGAAAATCTCCCTGCTCCTCCCCAAACAGCCCCCCAACCAGCACACTCCCAACCCTGGGAAGCCTAATAAACTGCCTTTACCCCTGTCTAACCCGAGATGACCCTTCCCCAGAGCTTGGACCTCTACCCAGACTCCTTCCCAAACCCATCCTCGCCCAGCATCTTAGGGCTCCCGCTGCCAATCCGTCAGCACCCCCTTGTCATGGATCTTCACCGATGCGCCCGCTGCTGCCCCAGCGGACACACAGCCCCATCACGGCAGCACAGGGGGCTTCCCAGGATCCAGCCCTACTGGCCTCTACCACCATCACCACCCCTACTCCCACCCAGACCCTCCTCTTACTTTCTGCTCCAACCCTAAACTCCTGACTGTCAGAACGCTTAGTGCTCCCACCTGAGCCCCAGAATGCACCTGCTGCCCCCATCGGCGAGCAGAGGCCCCAGCTCTCCTTCCAGCTCGCTCTCCACCCACGGGGAGCTGAGCGACCTCTCTCTCTGCAGAGCAGGTGGGTGTTTGTGGAAGCAGATGGAATTATGACTGACACACAATCCCCAGAAGCAGCTCCAACGGTGGGCCGCCCCAGGGTCTGGGGTGATGGAAGCGGATGGAGACAGGCTGCGATTTCAGACCCCCATGTGCCTCCAGCCTTGCCACACCTGGCCTGGCCCCTACCATGCCCACCTGCTGGTCCACAGCGACAGCGTCCAGGCCATTGTACATGATATTCACCCAGCCGTCCTTGGAGGCCAGGACAAAGAGGGACATCAGGGCCTGGAAGGCATGGGGAAGGGGGAAGGGTGAGGGGAGTGTGCGCCTCAGGGTGCCCTGCCCTCTCCTCGGTGCTCCTTTTTTTTGGGAGACAAAGAGGAGCCAAGGAGGCCTTCCCTGCATGGCAGGGCTGTGCTGTCAGCTGACACAGCTTTCTGGAGGACCTACTGGGTGCCTGAGGACCCACTGGGTGCCAGCTGCATATTCTGCTGGGCACTGGGGCAAGAGAAAGAGCACTGGACCAGGAGTCCTGGACTCCAGTCTCAGCTCCAGAATGGGACAACCGTGTGACTTCGGCAAGAAAATCCATCAGCCCGTGTCTCGGGGCTGACACCTGGAGTCAGGAGCGCTGGGGCACCCAGCTGGGATCTAAACCTGGAAGCTTCCTGATAAGCATGAAGGGCCCCTGGATCAGGAGCTCAGGCAGGGCATCACTTGCTGGCTGTGGGACTCTGAGCAGAGCCCTTGAGGGAGGGGCCCAGTCAGCCGCTTGAAGCACTTTCTCTCCTGCCCAGCCGGCCCGGTGGGACGGTGTTCCCATTTCCAGATGGGGTCATGATGGTAGGAGGTGGCCAAGCTGGGGTCCATACCCAGGTCCCACAGACTCACCCGTCAGGGCCCCCTGGACAGTCAGGAACCCGTGTTCACCAAAGCACCTACTAAGTGGCAGGCATTTTGCTAGGTCTCATGTCACCTGTGCGGTGAGTGACGTGGGGACCCACTCTATAGAAGGGGAAACTGAGGGTTGGGGGGATAAGGCGCAAGGCCAGTCCTGTCCTATAGGACAGGAGCCAGATCTGTGGTCACTGGGCTGCAGGCACACGGGGAGCTATCACCCCCACCCCCTGGGCAGACCAGGGGTCGGAGGGTGGCACTCACCTGGCCCAAGTTGTCGAAGTTGTATTTGTGGTGGACCCAGCGGTAGTTGGCGGCCATGCAGTCGGAGCGGTTGGTGATGTTGCGTGTGTCCACCCCCAGGCAGTGGTAGAACTTGCCCTTAAAGAGCTGGAGGGGGCAGGAGGGAGGGGAGGGGGAGCAGAGGAGTTAGTGACCCTCCTGCCATTCAGAAGAGGGGCCACCCACAGGGAGCACAGCCTCTGGGTGCAGCCTGGGCCTCCGGATGACCTCACACCCTCTCACCACTGAGATGAAGGGAAGCCACGCTCTCCAATCTCACAGGTGAGGAAATTAAGGCCCAAATCCCCTGAGACTCAGCAAGGGGCAGAGCCAATGCTCACACCCGGTCTGTCTGGTGCCAAGTCAGAAACCCCAAGGAGACTAGACCCAGTGGTGGGAGTCAGCAAGGTCACACCAGTCCGGCAGAACCGATACCTAACCAATACCACCTAACTTTGATTCTGGGAACCAGTCATTAAAATAGCACATCATCAGCATTCTCTCTCAGGTGGGCTTTCCACACACTGAATATCAGAAACTCGCGAAGTCCCAGTCCCTGCGCTTCTGGATCGCTCAGCTGTGCAACCGTGTATTCTAAGGGCCCGGAGTGGTGTTCGTTCTGTCCACGGGCATAAAAAATTACCCATTTCATAAAATGTGTTGCACGTTTGATGAACTACTGCATTTTTGTTCCCTGGAATTTGTCACTTCAGTAGGACATCGAATGTAAAGAGAAAGGAGCGAACAGCCAGAGGGGGACACTCAGTCCCTTGCTTCAGCTTTGTGTTATGCCCCAAATTCCCAAGAGATACGAGCGAATGACGCAATCCCTGAAAGTGTTCAAAGAGCTAAACATGTTGTCAGAACAACGGCTATCCGCTCGGCAGAAGCAGAGAGGGGCTTCTTAGAAACGAGCGGGGCTTGTTCCCAGAAGAGAAGTCTCTGAACACGCCATGTTTCCACTCCATCAAACATGACAACGACTGTCTAATTGGCCTAGGAATGGGGTCCTCTCGTATAATGACTGCAGATAAAAGCCCAGAAAGTTGCAAGTGAAGACATAGGGGAATACCTTAAGGAACAGTTCTATTAGCTTTTGGAGGTCTTATTTAATAATTTTCACTCATGGTTTTCAACTCTTATACCTCTGCCATTGTTCTTATTACCCATATGAAATAAGAAACTGCCTCTCAGTTTGGTTCTTCATACTTAATATGGTCATTAGGGCAGTGGACCGGATGGTCAATGATTTGAACCCCACCACTGACCCAGGCCCCATCCCTGGACTGAGCCTCCTCTGGGCAGATACTTCATGAGAGAGTCACCTACATGCCAGGGGCAGAGAAAAATGAAGGGGCCCACGTCCTCCCCACGTGGACTGGGTTCTCTCCCTCTCTGGCGGCGATGGTTCTAAGTTCATTCTCCAAGTGCTCCCCCGCCCCCCTCCCAAGATGTCTCCCCTCCCCTACCACCTATAAACACTGCAGCTGCTCTCCAAGGCCCAATGCAAATGCCACCTCCTGCCCTGCCTCTGTGCCCTGCCCCCCACGCCCCCACCCCCAGCCATCTCACTCCTCTGCCTTAGACTCAGTCACTTGGGCCCCTCTGTCTCCCCTGGACTGGGTGCTCACTGTTGCCAGGGCCACCTAAGCTACCTGGTGCTGGCCTTCCTCTTCCGCAGCCAGAGTACCCCCTAATCTTCAGGTCACCCTCACCTGCACCCCTAGGATGCCGAAGATGATGAAGAAGGCACAGCAGATGAGCACGATGTTGCCGATGGGCTTGAGGGAGGAGATGAGGGTCTCCACCACCAGCTTCAGGCCAGGGGCCCGGCTGATGACCCTGTGGGTGAAGCAGGCCGGGGACTGTGACCAGGGCCAGGCCTGCAGACAGCTCCACTCGGCCCAGGTCCCCAGGGCATGAGGTCTGGTGACTCAGATTTGGAAGGGCCAGGTGGTGACACACAGAAAGGCAGTTACCTCCCTCCAACACCTATGGGAGCCCAGCAGAGCAGTGAGGCACCCTAGGACACGAGAGGCAAGACTGGGGGGCACCCCAAGTGGCCATTTCAGCATCCCCCTCCTTCTCCCCCAGGAGGGAGCCCATGATCCACTCCAGGATTAGCCCCCCCACCCCCACCCTTGCTGACCCTGCTCAGCGGGGCCTTGACAGTCACTCCACAGCTGGGTATGGAGGTGGTGGGCTCAGGGAGCACCCTCACCGCAGGGGACGGAGGGTGCGTAGGAGCCGAAGGACCCGGAGGACACCCAGGATCTTGGCCCCTCCCGCTGAGGCCAGAGACACCACGATGTCAATGATGGACACGAAGACCAGGAATCCGTCCAGCACATTCCAGCTGCTGCGCAGGTACGCCTGCTCCCCGAAGTACAGGCCCAGCGAGACCACCTGGGGGCAGGAGAGGGAGGGGAAGGGGCAGCCACATTCAGCAGCAGCAGCAGGGTGGGCCTTTGCGAGGGACTAAAGGACCCAGGAGAGATGAGGCCGGCCTCCTAGGGAGGGGACAGAGTCAGACAGGTCTCCCTTCTGGTAGGAAGTTGGGGGGACAGCCACCTGGGGGTGGGGCAATGGGCGGGACAGAGGCAGGGTCCAGGAGGTGATAACCCTTCACCTAGCTGTTCCTGAAGGCCACTCTCCTTCCCTTTCTTCCGGTAAAGCCAGTTCAAAGGCACCCACTGAGGGGTGCCTCTGGTGGAGCATGCCCCCAACCCCCTTTTCTGGTTGGGTGGTCAGCTCTTGCAGAGTGCTTGTGTCTGAGCCCCTTTGGGCCCTGGGGCTGACACCGGGCGGTGGAGACAGGGATGTTGATGTGGCCGGAGCTGGGGCGGGATGGCCAGGACATGCCAGGAGCTACCTTCAGGGTCATCTCGCCCACGAAGATGGCTGTGAAGATGTAGTTGGACACGGTGAGGAAGATGCGTTCCTGAAAGGCGGGGGCAGGCTATAGGCTCATGGCTCCCAGCCTGCCGGACCACCAGGGGACCCGCCAGGTCAGTGGAACTTGGTCTAGTCCTTCCAGAGGCAAGCTCCTTGGCCCCCCCCCCCCCCCCCCCCCCCACCGCTGGTGTATTTCCCGTAGGAGCTGTAGTGGCCTGTCCGCTGACTTGCCCTGCTCGAGGTCACTCACAGTGCTGCCTGCCTCAATCTGAGGCCGCTCCAGGGCGATGGTGATGCAGTTGAGGAAGATGAAGGCCAAGACAACATAGTCAAAGAGCTTGTGGGCGATGATGGTCTGACACAGGACCCGGAACCTGGGCGGGGGGCAGGGGACGTGAGCACTCATCTGACGTTCCCTCTGGTCAGCAAGAAGGCCAGGAGCCTAGGCACCCAGTTGGGGTGGGGATTACAGCCTGAAGGAAGGGTCCCTCTCTTCCCTATCACAACAGGTGGCCCCTTGGAGCCCCAGCTCCCAACGATACAGCCATAGCAGCAGCTGGCACCATGGGTGACAAACACCTGCTTGGACTCAAGGCCTCCCCAACACTGGCCTCATCTCTGGCCTCTGGCCCCCAACACTGGGGCACCACGGAGCCTGCTAGCCTCTGCTTAGCCTCCAGGCCTTTCAGAAAGCCTCCTTCCTGCACCTGGACTGGCCTCCACCTCTCCTCGATCCCTGCTTCACTCACAGGGGCACTGTCTGCCTCCACAGCCCAAACAAAGTCCACTCCTCCAGGAAGCCCTCCGATGCCCTCCCCCCCTTGGATGCAGGCCATGGCTGCCTGAGAATCCTCCCAGTCTGGCCCCTGCAGACCCCACATAACTAGGCAGAAGAGTTCACCCTGCCCCGAGGCTCCCCAGCCAGTGCCCACCTATTCTCTGGGGAGAAGAGGTAGACGGACCAATCCTCTCGGATCTCGCACCAGTCGGGCTTGTAGGCATCGATCATCTTTCGGACACGGAAGCAGAGGGTCTGGCGAGAGAAGGAGGCGGCAGGGAGAGTCAGCGCTGTGCAGCGTTACCCACCTCCTCCCGTGCCAGCCGCCCAGCGAGCTGTGGGCACTGGGTCTGACCACCAAGAGCGGCCGAAAGGGTTCATCCACCTGGAGACCTCCCCTCTGGCCACACCCTCCAGTGGGTTCCCCGCCCACCGAGCTCCTGGCCAATCGACTCATGGTCCTGCCACTGTGCCACGCCCCCCACGTGCCGCTCCCTCCTTGGAACCCCGCCCGCTGCGCGCCTGGCTCCGCCCCCACTCACATAATCGATCTCCTCCTCATCCTCGCAGCGGTCCCTGCGGTCGTTCATCTGCGTGAAGACGTCCTTGGCGATGCTGGGCATCCTGCCATTGCAGTCCTCGTGCCCCGGGGCCGGGCCCGCTGCCCTCCAGGCCGCCCGGGGGTGGGCGCCCCCCGTGGGCCCCAGCTCGCCCAAGTCCACCGAGTCCCTGGTGTCCAGGGACAGCGTTCGGCGGTGGTGGCGGTGGCAGTGCGCCGCGTGGGGGCCGTGGTGCGCGTGATGCGCGTGCGGGGCGTGCAGCGGGACAGCCCTGGGCGGCCCCTCGTCCCGGGGGGCACCCTCGCAGGCCCGCGCACCGCCCCCGCGCTCCGCCGAGAGCAGGGACTCGTGTTCGGCCGATGGAGGCTTGTGCTTGAGGGTGTTCCAGCTGGAGCGGCGGCTGGCCCAGGCCCCGCTGCGGCCCCACGGCCCATGGTAGGAGCTCCTGGAGCTGGACTGGGGGCAGGCCAGGCTCCAGTCAGCGCTCTGCATCCATGACCTGCCCCCCACCTTCTTGCAGGCAGCGTGGGGGGTCCACTGCCCGCCTGCTGGCTGTTTCTGATACGTCCACCGCGCTAAGTCCATCTTACTTCTCTAGTTAGGATGGCGCACCTAGTTAGGATCTTTTTCCCATTTGACAAGGGCTCAGAGAAGGGTGGCAGCTTGCCCATAGTCACACAGCTAGGCCTGCCTGACCCTGAAGCCCAGCTCTGGACCCCAGATTGCTGACAAGAAGAAAGGCCCACTCTAACCACACCAATCCTCATCAGCACGGTTCACTCACTCACTTGCACACCCATCCATTCACTCATCCATTCCGGAGTGCTAGGCCCTGCTCTGGGCAGTGTGGCACTGGGGGCCTGAGCACAGGGGCTGAGGCTGGATGTGGCTACCACCCCGGGGCCCCCACCAGCCCCCCAGGAAGGAGCACTCTGCAAGGGCTCACCAGGGAGCGCTGGTCATAGCTCATTCTTCCCAGGGACATGACGCTGCTCTTGCGGGGGCCCAGGGCCACCAGCACAGGGTCCGGCTGCAGTGAGAGGCGAGGGGCAGGGGCCGAGCCTCCAGCGGGGCCCAAATGGCCAGCCAGCGGGAGGCTGGGGTCCAGGTGCCCGTTGGGCGTCATGGGAACTGGGCAGAGCTTGAGATCTAAAGGAGAGATATAAGGGGGTAGGGACAGACAGGCAGGGAGAGGGGCAAAACAGGAGCAAAGGAAACCATGAGACAGGCAAGACTTGGACTGTAGCTGTTAGGAGCACCCTCCACCAGGAAGCCCCCCAGCTCGGAACCTATCACAGGGCTGGCAGCTCTCCTTGGACATGAGTGGGCTCACCCCATGCCCACAGCAGGGAGCCAGGCAGGGGTGTCTGCCCAGTTACCGACAAGGGCACTAAGCCTGGGGTGGAGGAGGCTGCCCAGAAGTGCCAATGGGACCAGGGCCTGGGCCTTAGATCCACTGTAGCTCCTCCAGCAGGCTACGATGTGTGGAGGATCAGGCGGGTATTCCGGGGCCCTGCCCTAGGGGCAGGGGCAGGGGCTCCCACCTCCAGCCTACCTCCAGGAGAAGCCAGCTGCTATGTCCTTCAGCCACCAGGCAAAGGCCCCAGCCTCCTGGGTGACCAGGGAAGGCCTGCTTACCTCCCCCGCTGTCCAGCCCCTCCGGCAGCTTGTCAAACTCCTCCAGATTGGAGGAGCTCTGATCCTCGTCTGAGTAGGAGCGGTTGGCATCGCCCTAGGGGACCATAAGATGTTGGAAGACAGGTCGGCTCGGCCCTTCCCCCAACCCCAACCTTTTCAAGGGATGTTTTTACCTTCATATTATAAAGGAGGGAGCTGAGGCCCAGAGAAGGGAGGCAGGCAGCCTAGGGTCATGCAGCAAACAAGGGCCCAAGGCCCATGCCTACCTGTGTCTGACTACAATGCCCCAGCAGAACCCCCACTCCTGGGGGCTTCAGAATGAGAGCAATGGAGGGGCCTAGCCCTGCACTGGGGGAGAGGCTGGCCAACCAGATGCAGCCCCAGCTGCGTGCCTCTTAAGATGGGAGGCCCATAACCTCATTGGCAACCCCTTCCCCTGAGGACATGCTCCAGCTAGAAATCGCAATTGCAGCTCCACCCACCCACCCACCCACCCAGAGACACCTCCCAGCCCAGCCTCAAGCACGTTCCATGGGGTGGCTTTCCGCCCCAGGCCTGCAGTCACCTCTGCCTGGAAGCCCTCCACCAGGATGGCCACCAACAGATTGAAGAGCACGTAGTTGCCAAAGGTCATGAGGGCGACAAAGTAGAGGGAGGCCCAGGGGGAGGTGGAGGCCATGCCGTTGTAGAGGACGACGTTCCAGTCCTCCTGCGTGAGGATCTGTGCGAGGGGGACCCTTGTCAGTCCCTCAGGCAGCCCCAGCCTGGCCCCGGGACCCAGGGACCCGCCAAGGCCTTGCATGAACACCAGAAACGTCTCTCACACATGCTCAGGCGTTGCCCATGTTCAGTGCACACAAGGTTGGGGCCCCCATCATGGGCCTCCCTAGCCAGTGTGGGCCCATCTGGCAGCCCCCCGCTGGGAGACGCCCAGCTCCAGGGTCTGTGCTCCCTGATGCCCTCACTCAAGCCCCACCCTACTGGCTGCTCCCACAATCCCATCCTCACAGTCGCCCCCAGGACTTCCCACAAGCACGCTCCCCTACGTGCCCATCCAGGCACGAGAGCCCACCTCAGCCTCCCCTGGCCCCTCTGCCCGCACCATCCTGGAGACACAGAAGCTGGTAGAGCAGGCCCTTGAGGGGTACCCACTCATCAGCCATCACGATGCCACTGTGCCCCCCTACCGTCAAGGCAGTGACCTCACTGAAGGACCACCAAGGCACCATGTCTTCAGGCCAAGGGGCAGGCCAGGGACTGGGCCGTGTGCCAGGACCCCCTCCCTTCAAGATCCCCTCTTCTCTGGGTCCTCAGGAGGAGAGGCCAGGGAGAGATGCCCTGGCCCCGGGCACACACAGACCCCTCACCTGGAAGACGGTCACAATGGCCCACAGCAGGGAGTCAAAGTTCTTTCTGTCCGGGACGGTGTCGCCTGTATCTGTGCGGAGGCTGAATTTGCAGCCAAAGATGTGCATCCCAAGGATACTGGGGGGCAGCGGGGAACAGAGTGAGGGGTGCCCACAGGCCCACTCTCTGCCTAACCATCTGGCTCCATTTAGAACCCCCAAGTGGATGTGGCCAGCTTGGGGGCAGAGGGCGCCAGTGTGAGGAGCACCCACAGGCCCACTCTCCCCCTGCCCACCTAGGGCCATTCTGAAGCAACGGCCCCATCTCACAGAGGGGAGCACGTGGCTCAGCGGGGAGGTCCATCGCCATCCCCAGGGGCAGCCTCGCCCAGAGACATCTCCCCCTGCTGGCCCAGCATGTCCTAGGCCTCGGCCAGGAGCCCTGACCTGAAGATGAAGATGAAGAGCATGAGCAGCATGCAGAAGGTGGCCACGTTGTCCATGGTCTTCATGAGCACCACCAGCTGCCGCCGCAGCGCAGGCATGAAGCGCACCAGCTTGAGCACCCGCAGCAGCCGGAAGGTCCGCAGCACTGACAGCCCACCGTCTGCCTGCCCCACGATCTCCCAGATGCTGCCGGGCAGGGGCGGGGCCGGGACCAGGGTGGGGAGGGGCCCAGAGAGGGAGGGTTGCCATCAGTCACTCATTCGTCCAACCAACACGTTTGGTAGGTTTTGCTGCCCCGAGGCCCCTCTAAGTAATGGACCCTCAGCCTGGAGTCATAGGGCACCCCCCTCTCTGGAGCTGTCTGTGGCTAGTGCTCAGGTCCCTGGGCATCACTGGCCACCTCCTCAGGGGTAGCATTCCTGTCCATTGGGAGGGTCAACAAACCAGAGAGTGAGTCACCAACTAGAATAATTGCATCGAGAAAGATACTTCCAGATATTACTTCTGCTCCCCACTTCCTGGGGGTGCCGATCCTCCCATGCTCGAGCCTAGATCTTGCTCACTAAGGCCTTCATCAAGAAGCATGAGGTCCACTACATGGCCAATTTTGGGGGGTACTCAATAACTGTGCTTCCAGGTAACTGGTTCCTGGTGGAACCTGGTGCCCCAGGTTGGCTTTATTCTGAGAAGGGGGTCCGTGGCCTCCAGCAGGCAGCCAGAGGGCCAACGGCAGAGGAGGCAAGGCCAGGCACTCAGTACCACCCTGCTTGCCCCCCTGATGGGTGGGGGGAGTGGCAGTGGGGGTACCTGATGATGACAATGATACTGTCGAAGATGTTGTAGGGGTTTCGCAGGTAGTCAAAGAGCCCGAAGGCCGCCAGTTTCAGGATCATCTCCAGGGCGAACATGCTAGTGAAGACCACGTTGCAGATCTCCAGCACGTTGGTCAGCTCCTCGGGCTGCAGGGAGTGCAGTGGGGCCCCCAGTCAGACCAGCAGACCTCTGCTCCACAGCCCAAGGGGCTCAGACTCCCCGCTGCACCTAACCAGCAGGACGACCCTGCCACCCTGGAGCTCTGAGCGGTCCCTGCAGATAGTGGGGCGTGGGGCTGGGAGGAGACCCCAGGGCTGAGCTCCACAAACTGAGAATTGATGGTGTTACTGCTCATTTCCACACTGAAATGGTACCCATTTTACAGACAGGAAAACACGCTCAGAAGCTGTCTGGGGTCCTGGGGCTGGACCCAGGGCAACATGGGAAAGCAATATCAGGGGCTCTGGGGGCTCCGCAGTCACTCGTGACCCTGCCCCATTTTGTGAGCACTGTGGGCTAGGCATTGAGCTGTAACCGTTAGGTCGGCAGTTCAAACCCACCGGTCACCCCTCCAAAGGAGAAAGATGAAGCTGTCTGCTCCCCATAAAGATGGACAGTCTCAGACCACAGGGCCATGCTGTGTCATGGACTCAATGGGAGTGGGTGGGGCTTTTAGTTTCCCTCCTGACAGGGGCTGTCATACGCACTGTACGAGCATCCCACCTGGCCCCACCCAAGCCCAGGTGCAGGTAGGACACAGGTTCAGAGAGGGCAGGTGGCGAGCACACAGAGTCAGACTTGGGACTTCTTAGCGACCATCTGAGCAGACCCTCCAGCTGGCTGCCCCTTCTCCACCATGAAAGGGGACCGAGACCACGCGCCCACAGTGCACCCACTGCGAGCCAGGCATGGCCCTAGGTACCAAACACCGGTGACAGCTCCAGACTGCTTGAGCACTCTGAGAGTGGACGTCCTTCACCACGTGTCAGAGGGAGGTTAAGGGAGACCAGCCACCTGGCTCCGCCCCTGGGTAGCTGCTGGCCACGTGGCTTGCGGCAGGTGACGTCCAGCAGTGGAGCACAGAAGGCTTTCCGCTCTGACTTGGACATTACGTGGCTGTGGGACTCCCTCTGGGCCTCGGGTTGTCCTCATCCATAACATGGGAGGGCCAAGAGAAGATGATGGCACCTTTCCAAAGCTTGCTGCTCCCCCGCTTGGGTAGATGCCCATCTCTGCTCTCAGCCCGTCTGCATCGCAGAGAAAGGAAGCGCTGTCTGCTCAGCACCGACCCTGGGCTCGGGCTTGACAGCCCCCCACACCAGGCGGGGCTCAAATACCAGCTGATGTCACGGCAGCTCCAACCCGGGTGACCTCCTGCGCATCAGAGCAGGTCGTAGGCCTTTCCACAAGGCACCCCTGGCAGACCAACACCAGCCATTCAGCGGCCATGCTCCCCATTTGTACCACCCCAGAGCCACTGGTAGGGTCACCACTCTCCAGATGAGCTCACTGAGGCTGGGAGAAAGGAAGGGACTTGCTCGGAGGCCCCGGTGAAGATGGGGCTGGTTACAAACTGTTGTCCACCTGAAGTCAACCTTCTATCACCCATCCGTCCATCCTTCTGTCCATTCACCCAACCATCCATGAATCCATCCACCCGCCCATCCATCCATCCTTCTGTCCTTGCATGCATTCCTCGAATACTCTGGAGTGACCCCTACGTGTGGGCCTATGCTGCTCAGGAGAAGGTCTAAGTCAGGGGAGCACCAGGGCTGGTGGCCAAGACTGGCAGTCACAGCTAGCAGAGAGCTGAGTGCTCAGGACAGAGGGGCGATGAGGGGCTCAGGCTTGGGGGACCGTCTTTTAGAGGAGTCAGGAGCAGCTTCCTACCCTCTAAAGACATGGAAGCTGAAAAGAGGCAGCCAGGTAACTCAGACGAGAAGAGCAAGGTGTCCAGGCAGAGGGAACATCCCCCGCCCTGCCCGAGCAAATACTAGGAGGCAGGGGAGCTGAGAATTGATGTGGGAGCGTCTCGCGGCCCACAGGGCAGCGGGGCCTGACTTGGATTCCATTTGGGTTAAGCTGAGGAAAAGCGAACAACCCAACCAGCTGCTCCTCTCCTAGAGCCTGGGCAATCTAATAAACCTGCCATCGCCTCTCAAGCCCAGATCAAAGGAGACAGCCCCAATTCTGGCTGTAATTACATCTGATTCACAACAAAAATGGTCTCAGAGGGGGGGGTGAGGCCCAAGACGGCCCCTGGGTGGGAGAAGCCAGCATCCCTGACTGTGCCAGACCTCAAGCTCCCGGTGGTCACACCCTGTCCATGGAAGTGGCCAGTGGCAGCCTTGATGGGGCCTCATCCACCCACAGGGACTGCACACACCCTCCCACAACTGATGCGGCCACACGCCCCCTCCAGAAAGGTCACGGCAGCTCCCACCTCCCTCGCAACAGCTGTTTCTCTAGTCAGTGAGCACACACCTGCACATGTCTTTCTAATGGGCCATCCATCACTCCTGCAGGAAAGAGATCGGGCGGGGAGAGACAGACAAATACAGACAGTGAGAGGCCAGGGGGCGGTGGGGGAGTGTGTGTGTGGAAAGAGATGGACAGAGACACGAAAGACAGATTGATATGGACACTGAGGCTGGGCATAAAGGCAGATGTTGGGGGCTGTGCCCTGGGGAGAGTCCCGGATGCAGGGATAGATAGACAGGCAAATATTCTGGTAGTCAGGGACACAGCCCAGCTGGGAAACATGCAGTGGAAGTGGATAGACAGCATAGGCCCACCCCCCACCCCCCACCCAGTGGGGCAGACAAAGCCCAGGTAGCCAGAGGAGGGAGGCCGCAGGGCAGGGCAGGAGGTGAGTTAGTCCCC